GCACGCTACAAACATGATGAGTACCAAAGCCTCGGCATTGACGGTCGAGGTCTGGAAATCGCATCGTCAGTCTCATATATGACGTAGAAGGGGTAGGTGTGGAAATAGCGCTATGAGTATTCCATACCTCGGAGAGAGGGCGTGGCTGCACGATTCTTTCGAAAATAGTGTAAGATTTGAAGCATCTCTCATCATGTCTTACGGTAGACCAAGAAATCGTTAAGAACTTGTTACAGTCGTCCCATAACGCAAATATCCTTCCTGAAGCGGAGCCGCTGCCAAGGCAGAATGGATAGCGGAGCCACGCCCCTACTATCTCCGGGATAGGAGTGAATAGCTCAGACATCGTGAAGGAAAGGGAGGATTTCTCAGGGTTAGGATATTCCGCTACTCTCGGAATGTGAGCCTTTTGGATGGACGATCCGTTTGCGGAAAGTAAATCGTAGGGTTGGCAGACCTCAAATACGCATTATCCCCTTTCAAATAACGGCCTACAATGGCTGTAGCAAACAATTTCGGCTCTCCCTCGCCGGTGCAATGACTGCTTCATAAAATATTATGTGATCAGAGTAAAGACTGTAAAGCAGCGGGTCCGATGGCTAGATTTCCTATACTCCCTCGAGCGGAGAGAACCTAGGGGGCAACTCTTACAGCAGAGTCGTCCAAGTGATGGACTACAAAGATCCCACGAAAAATTCATCACACGCCATGTTCAGATGAAGCGCGCAGCCACGCCCTTTCCATCTGCGATATGGAATGCAAAAATTCTATCAAATGAATTAACATAGAGAATAGCAGGTAATGCCTCACCTTGAAGTCCATCGGATCCATAGCAACAAGTTTTTTACAAACGCAGCCAAAGCGTATGGAAGTCATAGTAAAAATCGGAATGACAAATAGTAAAGAAGCCGTCCAATGAGTCAAAGCCACTAAGTATGGGAGGAATCTTATTTAGACGCTGAAAAAATCAAACTATCAGTGGACTACCTAAGTAACCAACTGCAGATTTCAAGTCAAAGTTACTTTTTCTGCAATACGTAGCACAAAACAGGGTACATTAAGGTGCGTTACTGTAGACACTTTCGTGTACATGTTGCTCGATTTGCTTGATTGAAACCGAGTTGCACACTCACATCCGATCCTAGTCCCTGCCTCGTGTGGAACGGGTACGGAGAATAGGCTGGCCAAAAGTCTACGGGGCCAGGATCGGAGGTTAGTGATACCCGGATGCCGTTACCATACTCCGCCCGAGCTGGCCCACGTCCGGCACCCGCCTAATAGTAGCCAAACGCGCTACTTGTCTGCGTCTTTTCTTTTTTGAATTGTTTTCTACTGAGTATATTTTTCGACTACGGAGACCCGAGTACACGCGCAAACGCGATTTTGACCAGATGGGAGAACATTGAGCGGCACCGAGTACCACTACTCTTCAGCCCACTTTGCGCTCTTCTTCGAGCGAAGAAAGTGGCACGCTATTGCAGCTTCGCACCCAGTAACCTCGTACATGGCAAGAACCATTCTTGGAGGTAGGTCATGGTAAGGTTCAGAATTTTTTGAAAGAAATGAAAAAAACCACTGTGTGTCGGGTGAGTGAGTGAGTGGGTTGGGCAGTTCAGTGAGGGTTGAGCAATTATTGAATGCTGTAAGGCTATGAAATAAACGGCCTTGAGCTGATGGTGTGAGAAGGCAAGAGGCGGCTAAGATGGTGTAAATAATAATAGGCTCCTCCTATTGGACTGAGGCGTATCGCTGCGCGAGTTCCGCTCCGTCCAGACTGGGGTCGACTTTTGCCCGTAAATTAGCAGTAAAAAAGCATCGACTGGTTCACCAACCTCATTAAAGTAAGTATTCCACTTGCATATGCACAGATATCGTTGAACTGAGATCAATGTCACACCGAAACACCGCAAGCTCAGTGTGTAATAAAGAGCCTTATAGCTTATATTGGCTACCGTATACTCGAAAAAATGATCAACTTCTCGATCAGTAGCTACGGTAGCGAGCACGATAAACACCGTATAACACGCAATGTAGAAAAGGTCAGCTATGCCCTGAAATCGGATTACTGTAACTGAAGGAAATTCGTATACTAATAGTGGTAACCTTTGCCTGGTGAAGTGTTGTGATTGTATAAACTGCACCAGATTACCAGATTCGTCTAGGGGGATAAGAACATGTACATCGGCTGCCTCCCCACCCTCCCCCCCCAAATGATTATGGGTCACATCGCATTCAATAAGCCACTACGATCCGAATGGAAGCAGGATGCGTGCCTCATCACAAAACGAGATTTCAACGACGGAGACTTTATCCTTTTTCCTCACCAATATGATCATGCAAATCTGGTACCAGCCCATTGTTCTTCTAGGGCAGAAGGCTTGGCTACCCTGGTTGGGATCGAATTAATGATTTGGTCCATGGACAGTGCACGCCCAAAGTGGCCTTGCCTCACATCATTTTCGCCCTTCATTTTGCCACAAAAATATTTACCTGCGAAATAACAAGTGTATAGAAAATGGACGTGAAGTGAGTGGCTTTACGATGTCGTATGAGACGTATAATAATCAATATGTAAAGTGGAGCTGTAGTGTAGGCGAATGTGAAATAGATTATGTACGGCCAAGAAGCATCCTCCTGAAATCAGCGCTACTCAGCCGTCGTCATTTTACGTCCATGGTGGAAGGGCACGTCCTTGTTCCGTCGGGGATTTCCAGCGAGGAGGTCGTATTTAGGAAGGAGGGAGAGGTCGCAATTACCGTAATTGAGAAAAATTCTCTCCACTGTGGCCTTTCCCCTGTTTTCCTGTAGAAAAATGTTCTCCATTGTTTACTTTTTTCCCTTTTCCCTGTTTCAGAAGCACCACACATCTAGAGCCCGATGGCTTCTCGGGGAAAAATTATGGAATCTACTAAAAAACCATAGAAAAGGAGAAAGGAGAAAAGGAGAAAGGTGGGAAGTAGGAAGAATCAAGGAAGACGGTGCGTAGGACAGGCATGCGGGAGGGGCTGGAACCAGGAGAGAATTTCCGATGGGGAGCCGTATTCTGCAAAAATATTCCCCAACTGCAGAAGTGCTCTTTGGTGGTTATCACGGTAGCAAATATAAATTACTAATAGAAGGAACCATCAAGAGCAAATCGGTCCGAAGAAATTCGGGAAAAACCAAACGACCACCTGAATCAGTGATTAAATATCTAGAATAATAAAGTATTATCAGTTTATCGGTATTATTACCTATTCTAAATGAGCTATGGAAATGATTTCATGGGTAATTTCATGCAAGTGCAAAGAAGGACTTTGATCTCTTCCCCGTGTACACTTCATATCTCTGAGATGTGGTAAGCGTGGCTGGATTGAACGTGGCAGAGGCTAAGCTTTTCGTGAGATATTTCGAATTTGGCTCATTTGTAATAATGTCTTTGTCCAGCGCAGGATGACGGCTGTCCCGGCTCGAAAATATCCTACAGGTAAT